AGGGGGAGGAGGAGGAGGAGGAGGAGGAGGAGGAGGAGGAGGAGGAGGAGGAGGAGGAGGAGGAGGAGGAGGAGGAGGAGGAGGGGGAGGGGAGGCGGAGGCGGAGGAGGAGGAGGAGGAGGAGGAGGAGGAGGAGGAGGAGGAGGAGGAGGAGGACCTCTGAGGGTTTACGTTTGTGCCGTGTTGTTTCCATCTGCAGGTATTACGTCGGGCATGTCCCTCTGCAGGAGAAGTATGCAAGGACAGTAGAACAACTAGTCTTTCGACGATTCTCCGTGCTCTTCATCATGCAACACATGCGCAGCAGCCCGCAGATGCAGACAGGGTGAGGGGACGGCGGGGACGTCGGCAGTTTGCGAGACTCTGGAGAAGCCCGGCGCAGGTGCCAAAGTTTTTCTCACATTAAAGTATACAACAAGCCCGCCGCAGGCGCCGATCTTTTCGTTCAACAAATGTGGGTCGGTCAAGGGTGGTTCGCGGGTGGGTCGCAAATGGGTCGCGGGTGGGTCGCGGGTGGGTCGTTGTTGGGTCGTTTTTGGGTCGCGGGAGGTTGTGGCGGGTGGGTCGCGGGTGGTCGCGATGGTCGAGGGGGGGTCGCGGATGGGTCGAGGGGTGGGTCGCGGGGTGGGTCGCGGGGTGGTCGCGGGGTGGGTCGCGGGTGGGTCACGGGTGGGCCGACGACAGCAAAGAACAATAACAACAACGCATCAAGGCGACCCACCCGCAACCCACTCGCGACCCACCCCGCGACCCACCCGCGACCCAACCCGCGACCCACCCGCGACCCACCCGCGACCCACCCCGCGACCCACCCGCGACCCAACCCGCGACAAACACGCGACCAATTTGCGACCAACCCGCGACCCACTTGCGACCCACCCGCGACTCACCCGCGACCCACCCGCGACCCATCCGCAACCCGCCGGCGACCCACTTGCGACCCACCCGCGACCCACCCGCGACCATTTGCGACCCACCCTCGACCCACACTTGACCTACCCACATTGGTTTAATGAAAAGATCGGCGCTTGCGGCGGCCTTGGTGTACAATTTGCGTGAAATATTGGTGTCTGTGGCGGGCTTCTCCAGAATCTCGCAGACTGCCGACGTCCCCACCGCCCCCTCACTCTTATCCGCATCTGCGGGGTGCTACGCGTTCGATCATGGACCCCTCGCCACGCATCTCGGCCTCTAAAGACCGCCGGGAGACCGCCGAAAACAGCCAGCTGCCTCGCGCACCGACTTGGGCGGTGGGGCCCGATGCAGTCTTCGGCGGTCTTCGGCCGTCGGCGGTCTTCGGCGGTCTTCAGCGGTTTTGCGGTGGTCTTTCGGCGGTCTTTCGGCGGTCATTCGGCGATGTTCGGCGGTGTGTCGGCGGTCTTCGGCGGTCTTCGGCGGTCTTCGGCGGTCTTCGGCGGTCTTTGGGCGGTCTTCGGCGGTTTTCGGTAATCTTGTGGAGGTCTTCAGCGGTCCGTACGGCGGCCCGACGCGGTTTTCGGCGGTCACTGGTGTGAAAGCAGGATATTTCGCGTTAGCAAGGGGTCCATGAGTGATTACGTGTGTTCTCTCAAAATCTAGGAGGACATGCCCGACCTAAATCTAGGTTTCCCAGATGGCGTCCGAGTAGATGGGGTCGGAGGATCGCGCCGCCTCGGCGATGCATAGGCGATGCGGCCCGATGTGGGGCCCGATTTTCTCCTGGCCGACGTCGCCGATGCACCGCCGACGTCGCCGATGCATCGTTTATGCATCGACGATGCATCGCCAATGCATTGGCCATGCGGCGCGATCCTGCGGCACCGTCTACTCCGACCCTATTTGGGAGGCCTCAACTTGTCCTCCTTGTCCTCGTCCTCGTCCTCCTCCTCCTTCTCCTCCTCCTCTCTCTCTCTCCTCCTCCCTCTCCCTCCTCCTCTCTCCTCTTCCTCCTCCCTTCTCCTCCATCCTCCTCCTCCTGGCGTCTCCGCGACTTTCAGCTGTGGCCCCCTATCGACCCTCGAGACTGGGCCGGGGCGGGCGCCCGGGGGTCGGGGCGCCGGGGCTCGGGGAGAGACCGCTTGTGTGTTTTCGGGGCCGGCCGGGCGGCCCTGCGGGCGGCAGCTCGGCGGCGGCGGAGGAGGAGGAGGAGGAGGAGGAGGAGGAGGAGGGAGGAGGAGGGATCAGAGCCCCGAGTCATCAGGCGGCGGCGGCGGCGGCGGCGGCGGCGGCGGCGGCGGCGGAGGAGGAGGAGGAGGAGGAGGAGGAGGAGGAGGAGGAGGAGGAGGATGAGGAGGAGGGATGAGGCCCCTGCGTGCGGCGGCGCTGCTCGACGCGCCGCCTCCGCGCGTGGCGGCTCGCTGCCGCGGCCTCGCGGGGCCGGCGCCGGGGGGCGGGGCCCCGCGGCGCTGGGGTCAGCAGACATCCAGCGCAGCAGGTCAGAGCCCCGAGTCATCAGGGGTAACTCGGGTCAGGGATAACTCGGGTTCGTTTTTCGGGAACCCGAGCCCGAGTTACCCCGGGCCCGAGTTACCCCGGAGAACTCGGGCGCCCATTGCCAATGGGGGGGGAGAGGCAACGGGGGGGGGACGCATCGGCCCCCCAACCGTCCATGGATCGCCGAGAGGGGCCCGATCGCCCCAACCTGCCCAGGGAGGTGCGGATGCATGATGTCAGGAGTGAAAAAAGGACGTACACGTACATGAATCTACGCTGGTTTTGAGAGTACGCATTGTGCAAATGTTCGTTTCACGCGGCCAGTCTCGCGGATCGAGGGGCCGTGTTCATGTACATAGCTGGGCGCGTACGTCCTTTGTGGGCTCCCTATGATGGGAGGCCGATCGCCGATCTATCGGCGACGTGTCTCGCCGATTCCAGGTCGATGCTTCCCCCCCTAACCCAAGCAGTGGCGAAGCGTCCTGGCTCGCCCATGGCCCTACCAAACAATGTGCTAAGAACCTCTTGTGGTGTCCGCGACATGTTCTCAGAACATGTCTGCTTGATATTGTCTTCTTCTAACACATCGGGTTCATGTTCTAAGAGCATTGTTTTTGTTATTAGCACACCTGTGGGTTCTAAACATATTTCGTGGTAGGACTATGGGAATGCCGGCACGGTCGGTCCCTGCTCAACTATCCCTATGCCCCCTCCTATCGTTGCCACTCAGGTGCGCACGAGCGGGGCGCGAGTCGAGAGAGGCCGGTGTCCGCCGATCCGATTCACGTCGCTCGCCGATCCGACTCGTCGATTCGATTCTGGGCTCTCCTGGGTACCTGTTCTCGGGGCGCTTCATTCAGGAGGGGAAAGAACACACAGACACAATTAATCGTCGATTCCCAGAAAATATGGGAAGTGGGGGGGACGACAAAAACCCAGAAAACATGGGAAAATATGGGGAGTCTTTTTATTTGTGTTTATTTATTTGTGTGTCCTGGGGCCCCTTCATTCATGGAAGAAGAAGGCACACGACGAGGAGAGACGGCCGCCGCTCTCCTGGGAGTCAGTTCGTGGTGCGCAAGAGCGGGGCGACTCGAGAGAGGCCGGCGTCTGGGGAGGGGCAGCAGGGCTCCTTTCGATTTCGGTCCGACTCGGTTGGCCTCCGATGCCGAGTCGGTTCGACCTCGGATGCCGACTCGAACCCCGATGTCTCAATGGAGGCTTAGTGGCCCGCCGACTGCCGCCGATTCCACTTCTCCCGACTTGGTTGCCGATTTCTCAATGGAGGTCTAGCAGCCCGCCGGTGTCCGCCGATTCGACTTCTCCCGATTTGGTTGCCGATTTCCGCCGATCCGATTCTTTTCGATCGCCGATCCGACTTGTCGATTCGAATCTGGGCTCTCCTGGATAATTGAGTGTTCTCGGGGCGTGTCACATAAGATAACGAAAAGAACAAACGACCGTCGTCCCTGGAGCGCTCCGCGCGCCAGGGAGGGGGTCCCTGCGCAGATCCAAGAAATCCGCGCGGAGCGCCACAATTTTATGTTTATGGTGTTTTTTTTCGAATCCATTTTTGGAGGGGGAACGGTTCTATTGGTCGCAAATCATGGGGGAGTGTACCATCTTAATGCCGACGTTAGCGTCGGGTAGCGCTGATTAGCACTTGGGAGTCGAGGAGATAGCGCCGACTTAGCGTTTGTCAGCGTCGCCTTGGGGCCTACCGGCGTCGAGCTAGCGTCGGCTAGCGTCGATTCGCAAGAGCCGACAAGAGGGCGCTTCAAATGTGTTTGTTTGGGGGGGCGGGGTCGACGTGTCCAAGGATCTCTTTCCAAGCAAGCGTCCACGACGCGCGTTCCCGCTGGGGTGCTCATCGGCGCCTCCGAGCCTCACGGGGGTGGCGCCCTCTTCGCCTGGGCCCCGGTCCCCCGAGCTTCCGTTGGCCCCCGCGCCCTCTGTCAGGCGATCGCAAACGTGTATGAGGGGGGCGTGGATGAGCGACGGGCCCCGCTCCCATGGGAAATCCGAGCTTTCCGCCGCCGGACGAGGCGGCACCGGCCGCATGTTGGGGAGGGCACCTCCCCCGATCCATGGATTTGGCGACCGCGCGCCAAATCCATGGATCGCTAGTCCGTGCTTGCCTGCCACCGACTCTGCTTGGGCACTGGCTGCCAGTTCCTTACCCGTGGTTCCAGGGGCTGGGTCGGCTCCTTGCTGCCGTTTGTGGCACTGCTATCCCTTCGCCGCCCAGCGAGCAGGTAGGCGGTGTGAATTCGTGGCGCGCATGTTTCCTCCAGCCCCACGGGCTGCACATGATCTCCACTTCAGCGTCTCGTCGCCGTCGTCGCCGCATCCGCTGCCACCACCGTCGCCGTCGTTGTCGTCGCCGCCGGCGCCGCCGCCGTCGACGTCGTCGTTGCCTGTGTCTTCGTCATTCCTGCTGTCGTCGCCGCTATTGCCGCCGCCGTTGCCCTCGTCGTCGCTGGCGCCCGCGCCGTCGTCAACGACGCCGCGGTCGCCAGTGTCGCCTGCGCGCCGCCGTCGTCTGGGCCGCCGCCGCCGCCATCGTCTTCCTGAACACCCCTGTACAGAAGTTCGCCGAGAATCTGGTCGAAGACTGGGCCAACAAGTTCATTCTCTACGGCAGTGACGATGGCAGCGGGCGCTTCCAGGACCTGGTTTCCTGGGGGTGGGGGGCAGGGCATTTCAAGGGCCCTAGAACGACCACGATCAGTAACTACCCTCATTTCCATTCTTTTCCCCCACTCCCCCTTCATCTTCGGGCGAAGAGGATGGGAGGTGGTTGAGGAGGAGGAGAAGGCGGAGGCGAGCGAAACAACGAACTAACGTCGCTGCAGAGAAGCGTCGGAAGGATCCGCTGGGCCCGGGGGAAGGAGGGGGAGCATGAGTTGGAGGAGGAAGAAGAAGAGGACCCCCTCCCCCTCCTACTTATGGTGGTTGTGGTGGAAAGCAAGCCCACCAGAGAGGGCAAGAACCCCTGACTTTGACAGCACAATTCGAAGAAGAAAAAATGCCGCAAGCAGAAACTGTTGGCGCTCCGCGCAGATTTCTTGACTACGCGCTGGGCCCCCCCGAAGGCGCCTCCGGCGCCGCCCCTGGCGCGCTCCGCGCGCCAGGGAGGGGGGCCCCAGCGCAGATCCAAGAAATCCGCGCGAAGCGGCGAAGCGCCAATGATGACGCTCCTCCTTCTTGTCCTTCGAACAATGAAGGCGCAGCCTGACTCGGGCCCCCGCCTCTGCTTCAGGGACCATGAATGTGGGCGGAGCCCTGAGCCTTGGCTCCTTGGGACCCTTGGCTTGGGTCCGCCCCCAAAGGGTTAGGCGCCCCTTCATTGCTAATCATTGGGAGGATCCGTTGGGAGGAGGAGGACGAGGAGGAGGCTACGACGACTACTACTACTACGACTACTACTACTACTACTACTACTACTACTACTACTACGACTACTACTACTACTACTACTACTACTACGACTACTACGACTACGACTACTACTACTGCTACTACTACCACTACTACTACTACTACGACTACTACTACTACTACTACTACTACTACTACTACTACTACTACTACTACTACTACTACTACTACTACTACTACTACTACTACTACTACTACTACTACTACTACTACTACTACTACTACTACTACTACTACTACTACTACTACTACTACTACTACTACTTACTACTGAGAGAGCGTAATCCACCGCCGCTTTACTGTGGAAAATTGCCAACCTTTTCCTCCGGATCCCGGGGGGTTTCCCCCCCCCCCCCCCCTCCGAAAACCCCCCCCCCCCTGCTGGAACCCCTCCCCCCCCCCCCCCCCCCCCCTCCCCAGCAAACCCCCCCTCCCCTAGCCCCCCTCCCCCCCCCCCCCCCCCTCCCTCCCGCTCGAAACGGGGGGGGTCCTACTACCGGTTCGAACCCCTCCCCCCCACCCCCCCCCCCCCCCCCCCTCCGGATCCGGAAAACCGGGGGGTTCACTACCGGTTCGAACCCCCCCCCCCCCCCCCCCCCCCCCCCCCCCTACTCACCGCCAGCAAACGACTCCCGGTCCCCACCACCGTCCGCATCACATCCCCCACTGGTGTTCCCAGCACCACTGTCCTCACCACCGCTGTCCCCACTGGTTCCACCACCGCCCCTACTGTCCCCACCAGTGGCCCCACCACTGTCGCACTGTCCCCGCTGTCCCCAGAACTGTTCCCACCACGGTTCCACTCTCCCCACTGTCTCCACGGCCCCAACCACTGCCCGACTATCCCCACTGTCCCCACTGTCCCACTGACTCCTCCGCTGTCCCACTGAGCTGTCCCACTGTTCCCACCACTGTCCCCACTGTCCCCACCACTGTCCCCACTGTACCTCTGTCCCATTGTCCCACCGCCGTCCTCGCCACCGCCTTCACCACTGTCCCCACCACCATTGTACCCTCCACTGTCCCACTGTTTCCACCTCATTCCCATTGTCCCCACACCACTGTCCCCACCACCACCGTCACCACCACTGTCCACTGTCCCCCCCTGTTCCCACCATTGTCCCCACCACTGTCCCCACCACTACCGTCCCCACCACTGTCCCACTGTCCCACTGTCCCCACCACTGTCCCGCTATCCCCTCACCACTGTCCCCACCAACACCGTCCCCACCACTGTCCGCACCCCCACTCGGTTTTCGAGGGGGGGGGGGGTTCGAACCGGTAGTGACCCCCCCCCGGTTTCCGGATCCGGAGGGGGGGGGGGGGGGGGGAGGGGTTCGAAAAACGGTAGTGGACCCCCCCCCCCTTTTCATGATTGAGCAGGGGGGGGTGGGGGGGGAGCGGGTTCGAACGGTATTGACCCCCCCGTTTTCCGGAGGGGGGCGGGGGGGGGGGGAGGGGTTCGAACCGGTAGTGACCCCCCCCGGTTTTCCGCCAGCAGCGGTAGAACACGCTCTTTCTCATCATCAGCATCAGTATCATCAACCTCAACATCAACATCAGCAGCAGCGTCAGCATCAATGTCATCGTCGTCATCGTCAGCAGCCTCAGCATCATCATCAGCACCATCAGCATCGTCATCAACACCATCGTCATCGTCATCAGCGTCATCATCATCAGCAGCAGCAGCATCATCAGCATCGTAATCGTCATCAGCAACAGCATCAACGTCAGTATCATTCCGCATCATCATCATCATCGGCATCATCAGCAGCAGCATCATGATCGATCATCAGCGTCGTCATCGTCACCATCGTCATCCCGCAGGGAGCTCAGCCGAAGGCCCCAGTGCCAGTGCCCGCATGCCTTCTCCTCACCAGCTCGGCTCTCCGCTCACACATCTCGTGGCCCTCCACAGGGCTCCAGTTCTCGTGGCTTGAAACGAACGCTTTGGAGCACGAAGGGCCGATTGGTGAAGCTGTCAGCGCTGCACCTTGCCCACAGCTCGGGCCATGTTCACGTGACCACCACCACCTCAAAGGGTGACCTCCAGGCGCGAGGAGGAGGTGGGGACGTCGCGCGGGCAGGGAGAGGACGAGGCAGGCGGGGAGGGAGAGAGAGGGGGAGAAGGGGTGAGGAGGAGGAGGAGGAGGAGGAGGAGGAGGAGGAGGAGGAGGAGGAGGAGGAGGAGGGAGGAAGAGCGGGTCCAGCGAGGGAAGAGGAGGAAAGAAGGGGAGGGAAGGAGGAGGCGGAGAGGATGAGGAGGAGGAGCGGAAGAGGAGGAGGAGGAGGAGGAGGAGGAGAGGGGAGGAGCGAAGAGGAGGAGGAGGAGGAGGAGGAGGAGAAGGAGGAAGAGGAGGAGGAGGAGGAGGAAATGGAGGAGGAAGAGGATGAGGATCGATCTCAAGTCTCTTGAGGCTTTATACCGATGCTCGGAGGAGCAATATGTCATGACAATGAGGTGTTCCAAGAGTTCCAGGATCCCCCAGGCTGCCTAACGAAGGCCGCCAGATACTGCAGAGTTCTTGGTACGCATCCTGGGTCACTCGCATCATGAGCTCGATCTCGTCTTAGGTATACAACTTACCCAACCGATCCGACCTTTTCCGGTCCGGCTTTTGTCCGATCCTCGGCGCCCAGCAGGCGCTGAAGATCCCGCTCAGCTTCGTCGACAGGCCGGCGAGCGCTTTCGCGCTGTTCCAGGGCTGCCGGAGCTCCGAGGTGGCCGGGGGCCTCCCGCACGGGCGCCGGGGGGCCTCCCCTTCACCTGGGGCCCTCAGCCGAGGTGGTGGGGCAGGACGGGTGCCTGCACGTGCACTACGAACCACAGCCACCAGCACAGCACGGGGGGGGACCTTCGTCTGTCCGAGGTCGTCTGGCAAGCTTTTTCGGCCTCCGGGGGCCCCTTTCTCCTGCCCGGGCGGTCTCGTGCGGGGCGCACCGCCGCCCCCCCCCCCCCCCCTTCTCCTGAGGGGGGCATTGGGGCGGGGGGGCTCCTGTGGGAGCGGGGGGGGGGAGTGCGGTGGAGCGTGTGGATTCTGGTTGCTCGGGTGGACCGGCTGGCAGGTTTGGGCGGTTGGCCAGGAGATCCGTCGGCGACTTGGTGTCCCCGCCATGCCCGAAGCCTGGCCACCCCCCCGTGGGGTTGGAGCTTGCTTGGCTTCTGACCGGGGGCATGCACGTTTTGACCCGCGCCGCCAGTGCCGCGCAGGGGTGACTGCGCGCAATTCTTTCCTCGACTAGACGTAAGAGTGGCCTTTCGCGGGAGTGACCGTTGGTGCCGGCCAAATGGGGTCCCCCGATCGCCAAACGTGATACGATAGTAGCGTCTTGCGCGCTTGTGTTTGGCCCCCCCGCGGCCCAAAAAATACCGCGCACCAAAGGTCACTCTTACCCAGGGTCACTCCTGCGTCTAGCCGATCCACATTCATGTCATGATACAGAGTGCACTTGTCCTTTCGCAACACCTGGGGTGGCTAGCATGTTCATCTCGCGGCCACACGTTCGGACTGCCCGACCGCGCACACTGTAAAACTCCCCCTGTCTTTTTTCTTTTCCTCCTTGCCCATCCTCCCCATCTTGTTCGTTGATTGCTCTCCTTGCAAAAGACGACGACGATGACGATGACGCAACGACGACGACGATCACGACGACGAAGATCACGACGACGATCACGACGACGACGATGCCCACAACGACGAGGGATACGACGCCGCCGCCGCCGCCGACGACGACGACGTTCTCGACGACGTTCTCGACGACAATCTCGACGACGATCTGAACGATGATCTCGACGAAGATCTCGACGACAACGACGACGACGACGACGACGACGACGACGACGACGACGACGACGACGGCTGCGGCGGCGGCGGAGGCGGCGGAGGCTGGGCCTCGTGTCGTCGTCGTCGTCGAGATCTTCGTCGAGATCATCTTTCAGATCGTCGTCGACATCGTCGTCGAGAACGTCGTCGTCGTCGTCGTCGTCGCCGCAGGAAGGAGTCGGGAGGAGTCGGAGGGAGCGGGGCGGACCCCCAAAGGATGCCATGCAGTGGGGAGGAGTGCAGAGGAGTGGGGGGGGGACTGCTGGGGAGCGCGATGGAGTGTGGAGGAGGCGGGAGGAGCGGCAAAAGGAGGGCCGAGGAGTGCGAGTGGAGTGGGCAGGACTCGGGAGGAGCGGGGAGGACCCCCAAGGAGTGCGATAGAGTGTTGAGGAATCCGGAGGAGTGGGGAGGAGTGCAAACAAAAACGAAGGATTGCAAAAAAAAAAAAAAAAAAAAAAAAAAAAAAAACGAAGGAGTGTTGAGGAATCTGGAGGAGTGGTTTTTTTTTGCAGTCCTTCGTTCAAGGGAGCGCGATGGAGTGGGGAGGAGTCTCGAGAAGTGCCGAGGAGGACCGAGGAGGGCGATGGATTGGGCCAGGAGCAGAGAGGAACGGGGAGGACTCCCCAAGAGTGCGATGGAGTGAGAAGGAGTCCGGAGGAGTGGGAGGGAGTGAGAAGTAGTCCGGAGGAGTGGGAGGGAGAGCTGGGGAGTGCGATGAAGTGTGGAGGGGTCGGGAGGAGTGCCGAGGAGGGCCGAGGAGGGCGAGTGGGGAGGAGACCCGGGGAGCGCGGAGGAGTACCGATGAGATCGTCGTCGTCGTCGTCGTCGTCGTTGTCGTTGTCGTTGTCGTCGTCGTCGTCGTCGTCGCCGTCGCCGTCGCCTACTCTGCCGCCGACGCCGACGCCGACGCCGTCGCAGGCAACCCCCCCAGCGCCCCGAAGCACCCCAGACGCTCGCACGTGCGCCCACGGGAGCTCCCACATGCACGCCCCCAGAACCGCATCCCCGGGCATCTTGGGGCTTGGCATCGCTCGGACGTGTGCATGTTCTTTCTCGGCGAGGACCTTCGAGGAGCATCCTTCTGGCAAAAAAAACGCACTAAACCGAAAAATGCACGGGGAAGGGACGTCCGAGCGACGGCAAGGGGGGGGGTCGTACCCGGCCGCACTGGCGGTGCGTCCTGGGGGGGTCCCTGCATTCCGCGGGGTTTCGTACCGGCCCGCATTGGCGGTGCCAGTGGTGCTTCCTGGAGGGATTCGTGCATCCCAGGGGGGGTCGCTCCGCACCGGGCACAGCCGACACACACATATCTATATATACACACAAACACGTATACATACTTACATAAGTAGGACGGTATAAGACACCTGCGGGAGATCAACATTGAATAGAAAGCTATATGAACGCGATATCTTGTTGATATTGTCTCGGTTGCATCCTCTCCCGGTCTTGTTAACAGTGTCTTGATTGCGTCCTCTCCCGTGGTCTTGGTTGGCGATGTCTTGTCCGGTTGCGTCCTCTCTCCCCTCCCCCCCCTTTGCCCCCCTTGAATCGGGGGGACTGCCGAGTCCACCCCAGAGGCCCTGCTGGGCCCGGCGCATGGCGCCGGATGCATGTTCCAGGAAGCCCTCCCCGGAGCATGCCTCGAGGATCCCTCCGGCGAGAGGCTGGAGGTCCCCGCCGGACCCAAAACGAAAGCGGATGGGCAGGCACGCCGTTTTGCAGCGGATAGGCCGGCACACCCAAAATGGTGGTTTCGCGTCTGGTGCAGCGAACTGTGGTTTCGTGTCTCGTCGTGGTGCCCCATGGAGGGTCTTTTTGCTCCTGCTTCACAATCGTGATGCGGCCGGTCGCGTTGCGCGTGTGCGTCCTATTCAACAGTCGTGATGCGTCTCTCGTGGCTGTGACTGCCTTGTCTACACATGTGTGTTGTGATTGTGCTTTACAGTCGTGAGGCGCTCGGTTCTCTTGCCTCACGCTAGCGATGAGCTTCTCGAGGATGTGAGCACTGTGCATTGCCCCGCTCCACATTTGTAGCTCCTTTGCTGCCGTGCTCCAACACTCGCGGAGGCGGCGCAGTGGTGCGCGGAGAATTTCCACAAGAAGTTGCTGCCGATGCTCGCCGAGAAGATCCACGAGCACTCCACGGAGGACGGCATCCCTGGGACTGGGGGACGAGGGAGGAAAGAGGAGGGAGGAAGGAGGAGGGAGGAGGGAGGAGGGAGGGAGGAGGAGGGAAGGAGGGAGGGAGGGAGGAAATGAGGGAGAGCGGAGGAGGAGGAGGGAAGAGGAAGGGAGTTAGGAGAGGAGGAGGGAGGAGGAGAAGGAGGTAACAGCAGGAGGAGGAAGGAGGAGGGGGAGAGAGGAAGAAGGAGGAGGAGGAGGAGGAGGAGGAGGAGAGGAGGGAGGAGGAGGGGAGGAGGAGGGAGGAGAAGAGGGCCCGCCTCGTTCGAAGAGAAGACGAAGACGAAGAAAGAATACGAAACGGCATAATAAACGTAAGTTTCTGGAGCTCCGAAAGTCTACGATGATTGCCGTGTTGTGTTCCATCGTTCCTTTTTTTTGTTTTTGTTTTTCTTTTTTTTTTTTTTTTAGGGCCTCTTTCGGGCCATTGAGAGGCTTTCCAGGGCCTCCTCGGGCCTCCTGATGCCTGCTCGTCCTCCTCCTCCTCCTCCTCTCCTCCTCCGCCTCCTCCCCTCATCTCCTCCTCCTTCTCTTCTCCTCCTCCTCCTCCTCCTACTCCTCATCCTCCTCCTCATCCTCCTCCTCCTCCTCTTCCTCCTCCTCCTCCTCCTCTTCCTCCTCCTTCTTCTCCTCTTTTCCTCGCACTCGCACTTTCATCGCCATCGGTGACTTCAACACTGCCAGCCGCCCGCCGAACATCTTCCTGTAGCCACAACCTCAGCACGCACGCCTCGCTCTTGACAACAGTGCTCGTCAGCAGCAGCCGTTCTGGAAATCGTTGTTCGACACTATGCTCGAAGTCGAGTCCGACCTGCCCACGCGCTTCAACATAGCCGATTACAACGCGTCCGCCATCGACCGCATCTTCATCTGTATGCCGTCGCACGAGGGTTTCGCAGCAGGGTTTCGTCGTCGGCCGCAACTTCACCAAGCACGTCGTTCGCCTCGATGCCGAGATGCGCCGCGCCAGCACCGTGCCCGACGCCGCCCTGCACAAGCCGACCTTCACCAACGGCGGTTTTCCCGCCCCTTGGACGGGCAGGGCGTTTTGCTGCGCTCGAGCGGCTCGGCCTGCCGATCGGCCACCTGAACCCCTTCCGCTCGGCGCGCCACGCGCCGAACAGCTACGTCAAGATAGATGGGGTACGCCACGTCACGTTCGCGATCGAGGCTGGAGTTGCGCAGGGCCGCCCTGCCAGCGGTTCGGCGCGGGCGATGGCGATGGACCCGCTGCTTCGCCACATCGTCTCGTTCGTGGAGCTCCCCGACGGCACGCCAGACTACGACAAGGGCTACGCCGACGGCTGCGCGGACGACGTCGGCCTGCTCCCGTACCAGCTCGACACGCTGAGCCGCGCTTCTGAGCCGTTCCGCGCCGCGGAAGAGCTCGCGCCCCTCCCCCTCAGGCCTCGCGAATGCGTGATTGTGCCTCCCTGGGCCGCGGCAGCCCCAAACACCATTGCCCCGAGCCCGCTCCCGCCTGGCCGAGCTCTGTCCTTCCAGTGGCGTTTTTGTCGCTTGCGGGGCGAACCCGGCACCTCGGGGCCTTCCTCGGACGCCCCGCCCCCCCCCTCGCTTCTCAATGGTTCGCCCAAGGGCAGGAACGACGGCAAAGAGGTAACCTTCTCAATATTGTGCAGAGTGGCAGTGACGCCACGGCTCGCTCATATAACACGTCAGCCCTGTCCACGCTTAGCAACGCCGCCCCGCTTTTTTCTCCCCTCGACGATACTACGGTGCATCGTGAGCAGTACACCTTCCACCAGATGCTCAGCCTGCCGCCGAACACGCTTCGCCGCGTCGATGGGCTCTCCATGGCGGACTGGAGTCCGCACCCTGCCACTCGCTCTGCCCAAGTCACCGCTGTCGCTGCCGCCACTTCGCCCTGCGTCACATGCTCTGTCGGGCTCCTCGCGGGGGGCGCTCGCCTGCGCGATGCGGCGCGGGAGGAGAGCAAGGCCCGCACTGCTGCGCGCTGGCCGGAGGGCGCTCTGGTCGGCGCCGTTCTGCCCGGAGCAGCGCTCGCTTGCTCCTCGCGCACAAGCGCAGGCATGCCCAATGTTCCGCGGCAGCCATGGCCGCGGCAAACCGCGCTGCGCGCTGCCCGGAAATTCGACCATCCGTCGCTGCGAGCCCGCCGCGCCGAGCGATGGTGCAGCGAGTGTTTGATCGCATTCTTCGCCAGGCTGTTCTCAGCTCGCCCTTCACGGTCGCGCCCCGAAAGCGCCTCCGCGCGCGGAATGTCCCTCAGCCGCCCTCGCCCGCAGAGCTTTCCAGGAGATGGGCCGACCTTACACGTGCGCATGGAGCTGTCCGCCCCGGCAGGCGCTGGGCCACTTTCAAGACACTCAGCGGCGGGTGGACGACCACCCACCGCATGCACGTGCTCGGCCTCAAGCCCTGTGCATTCGGTTGCGCGCACGCTGCCGACCCATTCCCCCACTACCTCTCCTGCCCCGCCCTCCCGAGTCGCCTCAGGCCCCTGACCCGCCTCCTCTCCAAAACGCAGTCACGACTTGGGCCTGGGGCCCCGCTGCAGCGCACCCGCCCAATCCCGACAGCGACCTCTCGCTGCATCGGTCGATCCAGCGCGCGACGCTCGCCCACCATCTTCACAATAAAGTTAAGATTGCCGCACTCACGAGCGAGGCAATTGCTTCAGCCGTCAGCGCTGCCCGAGCCCTAGTCTGGCGCAGATATCTCCCCGCCAGCGCGGCGGCCTCCAGCGCGAAGAAAGCGCCGCCGAGGTAGGAACAGACCCGAGCGCCTCAAGCTACGGTCACTCTTGCTTTCTTCCCTGTCCGTAGCCATTCTGGCCCCAGCCTTTTTTCCCCGCGCTCGGCGCGCGCCTGCCCGCGCCACGGCGGCGGCGCTGGGCGGCGGGCGGAGACGGCCGCGGAGGGCCGCCGACGCCGCGGCGGCCCACGGCTCGCAGATCGCAGGAACGTCTCGGGACGAGGCCCACTGCGGCGCGCCGAGCGGCCAGGCAACGGCGCCTGGACGCGCCGGAGGCGGGGGCCCGCGGCGAATCTGCGGCGGCGGGGGCGCTCCCGGGCCAGGCTCCTGGCGGGGCCGGGAGCCGGCAGCCCGTCGGGCGCTGCAAGCTGCGGCCCTTGGCGAACGCGTCTGCGGAGGCCGCCGCCACCGCCGCAGCGCGGCCGGGCACGCGGCGCAAGCGCCCGCCGAGGGCTTCGCCCGCGCCTCGGCTGCGGCCATCGCCGAGGCCGCGGCGGGGCCACGGCTTTTGGCCTTCGCGGGCAGCGGTGGCAGCCCAAAGGCGGAGGCCGAGCAGCCTTTCGCGGAGGACACTGACATCGAGCATGGCAAGTTCGACCTGGCAGACGTCGGCATCGGGGTGGCGCCCGGATGCTGGCTTGCGTCAAACTGGAGCTCTCAGGCCGCCGCCTTTGCGGACGGCTTTGCTGCGGACTAACGGCTGGCCGAGGTCTCGGACAGCACGGTGACCAGGGAGGTTGAGGACGTCGGAGAGGAGATCGCGGATGAGATCGACGTCGAGGAAGGCGTCGGGTATTTACCGTCACTGATCACCGCGGCGCCGCAGTGCGACAACGACGATTTCCAGTTCGGCAAGCTGGAGCTGCCCGCAGTGCAGCGGATCGCGTGGCTGCCCAACTTGGAGGGGAGGCTGCACGATGACTTCGGCATCCAGCTGGAGACGCGCGCGCAGTCGGCCGACGAGTCCGACTACGGCATCGACGAGGCGCCGAAGGACGTCGGTCTGGACATGGACGAGGAGCGGGCCAGCATCGGCCCCAGCGAGGTATCCAGATGCGCGGCTGTTCATGACGATTACGCTGCGCTGGCAGAGGCCTTCAAGGCCAAGGCTGTCCACGACGATTTCGACGATGTCGAATGCGGCGAGCACGTGGACGTGGGCACGCTCCACCTGTTGCATGGCTCGGACACCCCCCTGGTCGAAGCCATGCTGGAGCAGGGCCTGATCGGGTGCCACGTCAACGAAATCATGGGCGCAGGCGCAGTCGGCGCCTCCTTGGCCGAGGACCTGGTGGGTTTCGCCTGGGGGCGGACGAGATCGAGGCGCTCGTGGCCCAGGTCGCAGCCCACTTCCTCAACACAGGAGTCGCGCAGAGTTCAACGCCAGCCTCGGAGACTTGATGAGGTACGAGGTGGCGTTCATCGAGGGTGCATCGGCCCCACGCTGAGAGCTCGGTCTGTAGGGCCGTGCCGAGCGCTGGAGCCGCGAGTTTGACTTGGCTGGGGCGCGGCCGCCGAGGCGCTGGGCGTGGCTCGAAAGGCTGGGGCGGCCGTGGGGGGCCTGGCCGTTCGGGGTGTCCGCGGCGCGGCCGCTGGCGATAGCCGGGGGTCCGGTCTCCGCGGGCCGCGGGATGCCCGACTGTGGCCTTCTTCCTCGGGGGGGCCATCGCCTGGGCAGCTTGCTTTCGGGGTGTCCGTGGGCTCCTCGTCGCCTCCTCTTGGGCCGTCGCCGACGCGCTCTTCTCAAGGCACCACTGGCTTCAGGCCGCTGGCTCATATCATTTCATCACCTCCTCCTCTCTCTTTCCGACTCTCCTACGCTCACTTCAACCTATCCTGTAATCCTCCCTCCTCCCTCCTCAGCCTCCTCCTCCTCCCTCCTCATCCTCCTCACTCCTCCGCTCATTGTCCATCATCATCATCATCATCATCATCATCATTCATCATATCATCTCATCATCATCATCATCATTCTCATCATCAATCATCATCGTTAATCATCAATCATCATGTCCCCATGTATCTACTATTCTCACGTATTCCATCTCCGTCCTCCCTCCATCCACCCGCGTCGTGTCGTGCTTCCGGATCCTCCTCATCCGTCGCCCTCCTCCTGGACCTCTCCTCCTACTCCTCCTCCCCCTCCTCCTCCTACTCCTCCTCCTCCTCCTCCTCCTCCTCCTCCTCCTCATGCCTCCTCCTCATCTCCTCCTCCCATGTTCCTATTCATCTTCGCATTCAACTCCTCCCCGAATCATCCGCCTGCTTCCCCTCCTCCCCTCCTCCTCATCCCTCCTCCTCCCTCTCTCCTTCCTCCTCCTCCCCCTCCTCCTCCCCATTGTTCCTCTTCTCCTCGCTCATTCTCTCCGTCCTCGCTCCCCTCCTTTTCCTCCTCGTCCTCTGTCTTTCCCCCTCCTCCGCCTCCGCCTCCTCCTCCTCCTCCTCCACCTCCTCCTCCTCCTCATCATCATCATCAGCTTCATCATCATCCTCATCATCATCCTCATCCTCATCCTCATCCTCCTCGTCATTACAATCGCACCCCCAGACGAATTGGTAGGGCGGACTGGGCGGCTTCAGACGCCGTCACCATCCACGATGTTGAAGCTCAGAACTTGCAACAGCTTCACGGATGGAGGACGGGTCGTTCTCAAAATGTGGTTTTCGTTTTGGCGCCGCGTAAATTCGATGTGAAAGCGTGCAGCGGGTTCAAGGATGGAGGACGGGTGGATTTCAAAATGTGGTTATCGCCTTCGGCGCCGTGCACATTCGTTTTACAAGTTCTCGACCGTTTCAAGGGCTATTATTGCTGAGGTCCCAAGATTGATGCTCTGCCACGATAAGGGGTTGTCAGGACGCAACAGCCAGGTTGATGATCGCGATGCTGAAGTCCCAGGATTGGT